AGTAAGTGGAATTAGAATTTCAAATTACAACAATAAAAGTATAAAAAATATGTATAATCTTGCAGCCCGCTTTGTTTGCGAAGATACAGCCGGAATTAGACTTACTTGTTCAATCAGCACTTTGGTTCGGTTCAATTGGTAAACAAGGCTCAACATTTGGTCAGCAATTGCTTGTTCTTTCCTATGATTCAGAACGTCTAACTTTATCCCGACTATGTCTACATTTTGCATTAACGATAATTCCAAGCTATTTAAGAAATTTGGACGAGCGTCGTTTAACTGCACAATCTGAATGGTTGCATAAAGCAATCGAATGGGGAGAAAATACAGCTCTTTTATGTTCTGTGTTAAATTTCTTTCGCTTTTTGAAGACCGGTCGCAAACCGACCATTGTCGACTTTTTACTTGGTTTAGATTATATAAGCTTACGGCATAATCAAAGGCGCGACATAGGCTACAAATACCTCACGCGCGAATTATTGTGGGGTGGTTTCATGGTAATCAAATACTTGTATAAATGATTTGTATGTATTGATTTGATTTCTTTTTTGCAATATTTGCCTGTTTAGGAAATTTTGGGGCTCCTGCTACCGATAATTAATTTTAGAAAAATTATGCGGTTTTTAAACAATACTATTAAAAGTATGAATGCCACTACAAGAGAGGACAGGCTTGTGGCTAATATCGAGAAAAAAGTCATACTGAAATCGAATACAATTTGCACTTATTGTGAAGAAAGACCAACCATACCACATCACATGAGTTGCGGTCACATCTATTGCTATTATTGTTTGGCAGCCAATGTTGCTACTGATGCCAGTTTCAGTTGCACAAAATGTGGTACAAGTACTACGAATGAAATTCATGTGTTGTAGTCGGATTTATTTTTAATTAATTGAAATGAAAAAAGTAATTAAGTGAAAATATTTCTCATATTAGATAAAGTATCTATATACTTGGCTTTAATTTAGGATTATGGCGATGAAAAAAATAACTTTAAATTTAATCTATATACATTGACATTGCTTGTTTCGACGTCTCCAAAAAGAGGTAATTATACTTTAACTTCATTGTTTTACATCTAGCGGGCAACTGAATTTATTCGTGTACATTTATAAATAAATTTGAAATGTTTTAAAAAAATTAGGTAACTTAGGGTAATTTCCATTATTAGTAGATTCTATTATTATGAGTCGAATATTCGATTGTGAATATTTAAAATTGAAGTAAATAAACAGATCGGTAAACCTTTTGATCTTACCACTCCCTTTAAGTTCCCTTTTAAGATTTCAATTCAACAATATTACGTTACATATTTTACACTTACATAATTACACGCATTCTGCAGTTTATGTTGATAGGTGGTATTAAATAAATATGTATAATTTATAACACTCATAACCATTGTTTATTAATTAATTATTTGACAGTTGAATGTTCATAAACATAACAGTTGATAGATGTTGCACCCACAATATGTGTATGTATGTATGTATATACATATGTGATTTCTATTTCTAACTGCACAAATACTATAAATCATTGGGATTATTTATCTACTAAGGTTTACATATACAATTACACTGGATTAATGTTTTAATGTTGTTTAAAATTTGTATGTTTGTTTCATAATACATAAATCGTTTTGGAGGTACTTTCATTATGTCCGTATGTTACATTTTTGCAAACTGTAATCTGGATTACATATCAGTGGGTAAGATATCTGGTATTAAATGTTTGCACAAATCAATCTCATTATCCACAAAAACTACTTTCTTTGCTGTATTTTCATCGAGCCACTGTCTTATAACTGGCCATATGGTAGAAAATATACCAGGTGCGTTTATAATCAAACATACACCTAAACGCTCAGGGTAATGTTTGCTTAGCAGCCATATCAAATTTTTCACCAACTGATAATCCATACATGCAGTACTGAACCCGGATAAATCGAAAACAATGCATAAACTATCTACGACTTCCTCAAAGCATTTTTTACATGCTTCTTCCAAGCAGTATACTATGAACTTGGTCAATTCGTCAATGTCACGGTCGTTTGAGTTGTGATTTTTCGCGGGTATATAAATGACGGGACGACCAATGCAGTCACGGTGACGTAAAACTCGCGCTTTATTTCCATGTATTTTTATAGCATCTGAATCCCCTAGCGTGCTTACTCCATATTGGTCTCGCCATTTGTTTGTTTTTAAAATAGCCTGTTTAATTGTAATTCACTTTGCATCAATACACAATTTTATTGATTTGGTTCAAAAACTTACTTGAAAAGCAGAGTCTACATTTTTGAAAGCCCGTAAGTATCTCTTCAATGAAAAGTCGTTGTGATATTGCTTAGGATCTGCCTCAACTATTAGTTTCATACGATCCTTAAGGTCTTGTAAATCATTTACATTGACATTGCTTGGTTCATCCTGCGACATTTTGAAAACTGATAATACCAACAGGTAATTTTGTATTTGATGAGAATTAAAAAAAATCAGTTAAGTTTATTCATACAATATGTCTTTATTTTAATTATTGCTGTTGCATCGCAGAAGTGGATAGTATTTTTTGCAATCAACGTTTAAAATAAATTAGGAGATTATATGAATGAAGATATGAAGGTAGGAAAGAGCGTTAAGGCTTTGTTTAGTAGACAAAAAGTTAGTTCAGAAATAATGATCTTTTACAAAAACTCGTATGGTTAATCTCTCTCTGATGTTAATTAATCCCGAATTATTTTTTAAATTTGCATTTGCAGTTTTTAGCTCTTTGAAAACGCGTTAGTAGTAAAACAATTTATAGAAGTTAATTTAAATACTTTGAAATGATTGTATTAAGTGAATAATTTAATGAGATGGCAACTCTATGCTGCAGGTAGGCTGCTAACAAAACCAACAACACGTTAAATATAGGCTTCATACATAGTTCTAAAACAAATTTTCGATAATATCCGCGTTGCGTGTGCTAAAAATAAAAAAATAGTCAATCAACATTAACAAAAATTGTATAATTCATTAAAGAAGTGTATTAAAGTGATAGATATTGAAATATAACGTAAAACGGAACAACAAAGTAGGTAAATTGCTTTCTCGACATATCGCAGAAATATAAAGATAAGGAAATATACATAAGTGTCATGACGGATGTTAGATGAAAGAAAATTAAGACCTAAATGTAATATATAAAGGCGAAACTCACAATTACAAAGTAATAAAATGAAAATAATTCCGAAATGGAATACAAATGCTTGCAGATATGTAGATAAGCATTTATCAGGGACGAAGTGTCTGCGCATATAAAAGGAACCACATACCTTACTGATAAAACCCTTTTTCTGAAATTCAATGATAACCAAGTACTAAACTAATTAACTGGCAAGCACATAGGTAATAATAACGAAAATAATATATGTGTATATATTGGAGCATTGGAGTAGGTCTCCACTATAATTGTCATCAGTAAGTAGTGATTTTGATCTTTCCATGCGCAACAGTAAAATAAGAAAACATTCCATACTTTCAAGGTGAAAAATTGAATACAAACACTTAAACATTATATATCAATGTGTATGTATATGAAAGCTTCAAAGAAATATGGACATGCCATTCATGCTTATTTCGAGATATCTTGTTTGTGGAATTTCCTTTATTTTTGTTGCGTTTCACGACTATGCAAACTTACCACTAAATTATACGAGTATGGAACGCTTTACGAATGAATGGTGAGTTACGGTGTTAGAGTTGCCTTTGTACAGGTAGTTCGGGAACTAGCTTAGTATAAGTTATGCGAAACAGGTAAAAAATAGTGAATATACATAGTTCAATAGTCTCAAAGAAGTAAAGTAAAGTTTATCATGTTTAGTTTATTTAGTTAATGGATTTACTAATTCGGCTTGAGCGCACATTTTATTCAAAGTGATATCTGATCTGGTGTTTAGTTTGGGGTTTATAATGTATAGCAAATGCAACCCTGTTTTTCATTTGCAGCTTCATTTGAACGCCTCGTGTTCGTCATCGGAGTAGCATTTTTGATATTTTATATCAGAAAAAGAATCACAATTGAAAACATTTAAATGAAGTGAATTTAATTTATATTACTAAATACTAAAATTGTGGAAATTTTGTGTTTAGAAGTTAAAAAGAAAATTTCGGAATTGCAGACAGAAACGCAGAAAATTGAACATTTTAAAAACTATTTCAAGAGAACGAAAAAATTACAGCCATAGCACTTTGTTATATCTGATTTGTGAAATAATTGTAAAATATTTCTCTTTACGTTGTCTTGCAATAGGACTGTCAGTGCTAATCCATTTGCTAACGAATAATAATTTCACTACACGTTAGCGGAGGATACCCATTGAATTAGCCTTTGTGTACTTTTCGAATTCGTCTTCGAAATTTTTGGCAGCATTATTGCTGGAGTAACAAAGTTTTGCAAGATTGTGTACCATGGCAGACGTTACTGACGCCAGTGGTGTTTTCGACCTAGAGCTTCATGAGGAGGAAAATCCTCGAGATTCAGACGATGACAGGATCGAGTTGGATGATGTAAGTACTTTTTTTTTGTTAAATTAATCAACCCTAATGGCACACTTGATTAAAGTATTAAGTTAAAAGAGTTATTTTTTATATTAATACCATACAGTTTCATATTGAATGTATGAATGGAATATAAATATAAACATTGTTTACATACATACATACAACGAGACAATGCTATGGAAAAGCCTACTTTTTTTTAAAAAATTCATATTTTTCGAAATTACATCATTATATACACATATCTTGAATATTTATTTTACAATTTTAATAATAAAAAGTAATTTGTATATATTTTTGTATTCTTATATACAGATATTGAATAACATTTTTTTCGTAGCTTTTATAATATTTATTAAAAGTTTGATAAGACTAAAAACTTATAGCCAAAGCAACGGTGTGTAATATACACTATTCTTATCAAGTTCTTTATAAGATAAACCGAAAAACTTAACAATTGAGAAAACAAAAGCTTTTATAAACTTCTTCTGCTTTAATGACCTACACTTTTAGTGTTATAATAGTAGTATTTTTTAATCTGCATATTTTACCGGGAAAGAAAGCCTAAAAATTTAAATAAAACTATATACATATATATGGTATATAAAATAATATTTATATTAAAATTACACTTTTACTACCGCATAGTAATATTTATGTATATACATATGCGATGTGGTTTAAATATAAAAAAATCAAAATTATCAACAATCTATTATCAAATATTTGTTTGATTTAAGAAGTATTTAAACAGTTGATACATACATAATTACATGAGAGATAAATGTTAGTTCAGTTTTCTCATTCTTTAAATAATTTCAGTTATTTTTTTTTGTTAATTTTAAAAATTATTTCAGCATTTTTTTTTTTAATTTTGTGGACTTAATATTCAAGTTTGTAAAATCCGATAATTTCTAGTCTACAGCCAGAAGAGTTGTTTATATTATTCCGTATGTATTTATTCTTAATTATAGCTCTATTATATGTATCAGTATTCAAACTTTAAATGCATATATCTAAATATATAATTTTGTCACACCCATTATAATCCATATAATTCTTTTCAGGTCGATTTAGAACCCGAATTAAGTATAAACAATATCCAAGAAGAGTAAGTATTAAAAGTAATCATATAATACTTTCATGTGATTTGGTATAAGCTCAATATTTTGTTCATTATGTATGTACATATAAATGGCATTAAAATCCCTTATAACCGGACACCCACTCACGCAGTGTACGGCTATGGAAACTTTCCACATATGGGGGCGTGGCAAAAGTGTGTTTAAATTGTAATCTTAGCGTCAGAAGCTGCAACTCAAAACAATATTTCCACTGAACTAATAATTGCAAGCGAACAACTTCAGAATGAAAGAATGACAATTATCATATTAGTTTCCGTTGAGCCTCAGCGAACCAAACGGCGCCAGCTCAAGTAATTTTTTTTGCTGTGATTGTTTTTCGTATTGTGTGTACAAAACCGTCGCAAAGTTCCACAATGTGCTAAGAATTTAAAAAGCGGAAACTAGAAATTGTACAAAATTTTCTTGACACATTTTATGAAATCTTGCTACTTTATCAGATATAATTGCCCGAAGGGTATTTAAAACATTTATATTCATATTTTAAACGTTTAACATGGTTTTTATTTCTATTTGTGGCAATTGTGATATTTTGAAGCTTTTTTTTTTAACCTTTTTCTCCTCAAAATGCCTGAGCTTCAATTTATAATCTACTGACTGATCGTCTGTTTTTTTTTTTAACGAAGACATGTTATTAAAGTATTTAATACTTTTCAAAAAAAAAAAAACATATTATACATATATGTATATCATCCCAACAAGCCAAATATTAATTAATTCATAATTAAATCAAATTTGACAGCACAAAGATTCCATTGGCTATCGTGCCGTGTTACTAAACGCTAATCTCCGTGTGAATATGAACATTTTGTGCTTTATTATTATTTTTTTTTACCAAAGAACTGTTTTTGTAAATAATGCAAACATATGTATAGTAGGTACAAAAAAAAAAGAAAAAAAAAAACTCAAGTACATCTAATACATTGGTAATTTCTGTTTTTATCGATAATAATATTGCTTATGATATTGTTAAAAAAATCACTTATCTGTCATGTCATATCAACCACATAACGATAAAAACTTTCGTAGTTAAACAACAGCTGCACAAGTATTTGACGCGACACAGAAATTAGTTGAATAGGAGGGTTTATCCTTAGTATGTTTTTAATTTATTACATATTTTTTATCTAACACAATAAAACAATATTAATAAAATGTACGTATATGTTTACAATTTTCAGAGTTGAAGGACAGGAAACCATACAGTTGTCAGAGGAAACTGTAAATCCCGGTAAAATAAAGCTAGGTCCCAAAGATTTTGAACTAAAGAAGGTACTAGGTAAAGGTGGTTATGGCAAAGTTTTTCAGGTTAGTTCTATTCATATTTCATTTAGACCATTTACTTATACAGTTTATTTAATTTAGGTGCGTAAAACTGCGGGCAGAGACGCCAACAAATACTTCGCCATGAAAGTTCTTAAAAAAGCCTCAATAGTCACAAATCAAAAAGATACTGCACATACTAGAGCCGAAAGAAATATATTAGAAGCTGTAAAGGTATTTTGTACACACTTTTTAATAGAAAGTAATTTGACAATTTACGCATTTGACTTTTTTCAATTACAGCATCCATTCATCGTTGAGCTTGTATATGCGTTCCAAACTGATGGAAAGTTATATTTAATCTTGGAATATTTAAGTGGCGGTGAATTATTTATGCATTTAGAGCGTGAAGGCATATTTTTGGAGGATACAACATGGTAAATGCAAACATACATATATATGCATAATTGCATTTGTAAATATTATATTATTTCATCCTTTATAGTTTCTATCTAAGTGAAATTATACTAGCTTTGGGACATTTACACAAATTGGGCATTATTTATCGCGATTTGAAGCCAGAAAACATCCTCTTGGACGCACAAGGACATGTAAAATTAACTGATTTCGGTTTGTGTAAAGAGCACATCCAAGAAGGAATCGTTACGCACACGTTTTGTGGCACAATAGAGTACATGTAAGTGAAATTATTGCTTCAAGAAAATTTTTTCCATTCAATAGTGATAAAATTAAATGTTTTTTTTTTATATGAAGGGCTCCTGAAATCCTAACTCGTAATGGCCACGGAAAAGCAGTTGATTGGTGGTCGTTGGGTGCATTAATGTTTGATATGTTAACCGGCATGGTAAGTTTTTTCTACACATTGCTAACAGTAAAATAAAATATATTTAAATTGTCTTTTTTTTTACATTCATTTTAGCCACCATTTACTGCTGAAAATAGAAAGAAAACCATCGAAACGATTTTAAAAGCTAAACTAGTTCTACCTGCCTACCTCACGCCCGAAGCTAGAGATTTAGTGCGTCGTTTGATGAAACGCCAAGTGCCACAAAGACTGGGAAGTGGACCGGAAGATGCGGCCGCCGTACAGTCACATCCATTCTTTAAACATGTTAATTGGGATGATGTATTGGCCCGGCGACTGGAGCCACCAATCAAACCCATATTGGTAAATATATATTAATAGATTTATATAATTATATAGTCGAAAATGTGTCAAGGGTTCGAAATTAAAAAATGATTAAAAAACCCGAGAAAAACTTTAAGTGCCTTTCGCAAATAAAAAAATTTCCATAGTAGTATGGCACCTATATGCTATAGTGGTCCGATCTGAAGCATGTGTTTTTCCTTTACAAGCTTTCTGAAAACTTAAATATAATATTTTCTGGGTATAAAAATACTGCAGTTTAATATCAATGCAAATTGGAGAGAGAACGGCATTGGCAGCAGGCAGCAAGTATGCGCCACGCCAAGCTGCTTCTCCAGGTTCTAGGAACTAATCACCTCCCCCGTGAGAAATTCCGTCTCCTCGTCGCGATCTACACAGGGCACTGCAAGCTCAGGAAGCACCTGTCCAATATGGGCATGGTCTCCAGTGCTAACTGTCGGTTCTGTGACCTTGAACTGGAAACACCAGCACACCTAATCCTCGATTGCACAGCAATCTGTGGAAAAAGACTCAAGGCCCTGGATTCCATTTACATCAGCAGGGATCACATCATCTCAGTAGCACCCGCCAAACTCCTGGAACTATTCAGGCTGCTGGAACTATGGGAGGTCTTGTGATATAGGAGAGGGCACAATAGTCGCGGTGCATTACCTCACAACTAGTCTAATCTAATTAATGCAAATACAGAACGATTAGTTTACAATTAATATTTTATAAACTTTTTTTTGCCATTTTGTAATTCTGTTTTCTTTTTTACAGCGAAGTGAGGATGATGTGTCTCAATTCGATACAAGATTTACAAGACAAATACCAGTTGATTCTCCAGATGATACAACGCTTAGCGAGAGTGCTAACTTAATATTTCAAGTAAGTGGTTATTTGTTCTGGTAGTGATTATTGTTTAGTTTTAAAAAAGATTCCCCTATTCCTGTTACTTCGACTCAACTGTCGTGTGACCTTTACGTATTTACACTTATGTATACGTAGTGCGTACAAGAGCCTCATAAATCCTAACTATGAACAAATCTGGGTGAAAAATATTTTAATATCCGCTAGTGTGAACGCTTTAGATTTTAGTGGAGTATAGGCTAGCAATACTGATCTTATAACCGGAAACATTTTCAATTCGGTTCCGGTGATTACTCTCCTCTAGCAAATTTAAGTTGGAAGGAAACATTTTTAAGACTTAACTAAACTTAATTTGCTTAGAGTTCAGAAAATGCAATTGCACCAATGTCAACTCGGCAGTATTCTTCAAAAGTATGTAAGGAATGTTTTCTGCTGCTACAACAATAAATAAAACTATAAGGATTTGTTTTTGGACTTTATCATAAAACAATATTTTAACACAATTATTGTTTCAGTGCACAGTACAGTTTCTGTAAATATAATACATTCTTGTAATAAATATTAAAATTAACTAGTCTATACTTAAGAAGATATAAAAAAAAAATCCATATTGTTAAGCTGCACCACATTGGAAATGCGGCTCTTTTAATGGTATGCCAGTGGGACCATCGGTGTATTCGCAAAAATTCAAACCGATTCGTCGAAATGGATGGCATTTACTTTTGGGATTACCCCATTTACCTTTGAATGATAACCATGATGGCACCAGAGCGCGTCCTTGAAAATATTATTTCAATTAAAATTGAGAACTGTGTGCGTTTTTATAGAATTTAATTACTAACCGTAAGATTTTAGGTTTTCATATGAAATATCCACCAATTTCCACGTGTTCCATGGTGTGCCAAATCCATTTATGTCATAAAGACGCGCTACTTTGACAAAACGATGTTTTCCTGGCGCCGTCCACAGGCCATGGGAACCCTAAATGCAAAAATGTTTAGTTTACCGAAAATACTGTAAAATTCTCAAACTAATTTTTTACTTTTGCCGCAAAAAGTACTGGGTGATTATTAAATGTCGTCACAGTCTTCGGAAAATTTGGCCTCTGTAATATGCCTTTACGAGTTTCCTGTTTCTTAAACTCAAATGATCCGGTTAGACGATTGTATGAGTAATACGCGCCTGCATCATGAGCCGAAACGTACATCGCTTCCGGTTCAGCATCACCAGTGAAATATAAGCTCATATGTTCCCAATCACCAATGTGACTGCCAATATCTTTGCGACGCCCTAAACAGAATCCATATACAGCCGGAAATGGAATGCTGCCAAGCGGCCCTAGGCTCAGTGTACACATTGTTTTGCCCTAAAGAAATAACTCAATTAAAAAAAACATTTGCTTTTATAATATTTTACGTCTTACTTGACTATATGGATAAAACATCCAATACGTCACATGGAAGCTGGGCATCTTTTTGCGCAGTTTCCGCCTTCCACCAGCATTATTTGTCACAAGATGATCAAAACTGCTACCTACATCAATGGTATTGTCCTCTAACATATTATCAACAGGCATACTGAATTTAACATTGTCCACCAAATTGGCAATGAAATTGTTAACTTGAGCGCTATTGTCTTCTTGTATTGGTGAATCCGTAGTAGTCACGTCAGGTGCGCCAGTTGACTGCTCTGCAGCAACTGGACTGCTCTCACCCAAGACAAGATCGCTATAAGGCTCTACAACTAAACCTTTTGGTGGTAAATTGAGCACGATTGGCGGTGATAATGGTAAATTATATTCGTTTTCGACCAGACGTAAACTATTGCGTCGCACACGTTTGAAGACAGGGTACAGTCGTGACGAACGGCGTACTGTGTCATTGCGCACATCCAATGGATCGATTGAGACGGGAATGTAAGGTCCACGTGTGCTGCTTATCGGGATTGTGGATGCCAATGTAGACGTTGAACTGGGCAAGAATTGTTGAGTTGCGGAAACAAGCAACTTTTGTTGCAAACCATTAAATGGCGATGTGGGGGGTGCTGTTGGTGGAGCTGCTGGCGTCAGCTTTGTGACCGTTTTTCGCATTGGTGCATTACAAAGCGTAACGACTGCATAAATTGGCACTGGTGATTCGTTTGGATTACGACCGTAGATAAAAGACTTCTCATTTTCTAAAAGTTCGTCTGCAAAGATTACGATTGTATGAAATCTCGTTTTATTTCGAGTATTTTCTGATGGTAAATTCATATATACATACATTTATTTTTATCAACAGACATACCGATATAGATTTAAATTTTTGTTTTGTTTTAATTTTTTAAACAGTTCGAATTGACTGCCCAAAAGAAATCGAAACTTTCAAAAAATTGTACTAAAATTAATAATAATTAGAGTTTGCTAAATAGCTATAGCGAATTGAAATAAAATTATTGAAAACATTAGACTTAAGCAACAAACCGTGATTAAAAGGTGTTCAGAATTTTCGTTGTACATTCGTTCGTTCTTTACGATTGTTTTTTTATTTGCTTACCTATCTCTTCATTGGTCACCAAATATGCCTTTTTCGAATCATCCCCAATTGGCATGCCTGGTATAAATGTTTTGCCTTTATCTCTGGGGTGCACATGGTTTAGAAATTCATCTACACCGAGTGGCATGAATTTTTCCTCTGGTGCCAACCATACAATCGGTGCCCATTGTTTAATTAAACGGTCAACTGTGATATAATAACAGTATTTATTAGTGGCATAACATAAAAAGTATTTTTAAGTCTTCAAAATATTTCGTTACATATAAAGATATATAAAACTGTTAAGATGTTAAAACTTGAGACCTGGGATATTTTGTTTTTTATAATTTTAAAAATTGATCACAATTTCATATTCAGTTGCTAATAAAGTTTGGAAACATGCAGGTATAGTGCTCATTTGCTAAAAATTGACTTGCACAAAAGCTTCCGAAAATTTTCACTTTCCACTTTGCTCTTATAATTTGCACGTTTCATTGTAATATATACATGTGTTTTATTTCATGTCATACTGTGAGACATGTGATTGTTTATTTTTATATATAAAAATTGTGATTGCCAAGCAAATAACGTTGTTTGCTCAGCCAGAAGACACGACGATCGAACAATCGTTTCATGGTGATCCACTTAACCGCAAATTGGTGGGTGAACTGCGGTGTAATAAATCATAAGTAAGTGGTTCTTTCTGTATAAAAGTGTATATCTATTTTCTTATTTACAAAAAAAATTTCACCCAATTTTACATTATATAGTTACAAAATGAGTAAACCACAATTATGCTTGAGCCGCCCATAATATATAAAAAAACTCGACAAAAACGAATCGAATTTATAAATGATTTCTGATTTAATCGCAGTCATGTGTTCAATAAACTACCAACGAATAATTGTGATTATAGGAAACTTTTTCCTTAAATATCAATTTATTTTCATTTGCCGAGCTGCAACAAAAAATAGTAACTATAGCGAAATAAAGATGTCAGTTTTTACCAAGATTCAGTATTTTTGATACTTTTGGTCTATATTCGAAAATAAGAAATCACAGGTTACAATTAATCAATAACTTAAAAGGAAACGACAATTCACAATAAAGCAATCGGACATACATATGTGATAAGTACAAAGTCAAAGGCTTATGATTTGCTTCTGCATAAAAATATCAACAATTTATAATTATTAGAAGGGTTATTTGCTTTGGTGTAAAATAATCATGGCCAAAGATCATGCATCTTTCGTTTAACAACTGTCAATGTGTGTCTCAGCAAGAAAAAAAATTTATTTTTATTATCACTTGAATAGTAAGAGAGAGATTTTGGTTCAGCTTAATTCAATACCTTGATACAAAACCATACCTACTTCTTTATCTACTAAGGAGAATTTTGTATGAAATCCATTTCGATATTGTGAACCGATGTTTCCGTCGCCGGTAGGACCATTATCCAAGTCTATTTCTTCTACAATTTCTCCGATTATGTCACTGTTCTGGTAGCTAGCAGTTTCGGCAATATCTCCACGAATATCGCCGTTGAGAGCGCCACTAGTGGATGATGCTACAGGCCCATCAGCTAATGCGGTTGTACTTTTTATGATTCCTATTAAAATAATCATAAAAGCAATCAGCTGATTTGACCGGCCTTCACAACGTTTGACATATTTGCCCGAAACTGAGTGCTGTTGTGCGTGTACTTGTTGTGGTTTTTTCTGTTGTGATTGCTGGCAATTTCGATGACACTTTTGTTTCGGCTGTATGTACTGTCGACTGTTCGGCATTTTGCGGTGTGGCGCTGCTACCTATTTGATTGTTTATTTTTCTTTATCAGTACGTATGCGCATACATGTGAATAAGTAGGTACATACATATGTATGTTTGTTTAATATTTTTTTGGTCTTTTTTTTGTTTTTTTTTTTT